GTGTGCAGCGGTGGTCAAAAAGGCAAATAGGATGCTAGGAATTATTAGGAAAGGGATAGAAAATAAGACCCAGAATATCTTACTGCCCCTGTATAAAACTATGGTACGCCCACATCTTGAATACTGTGTACAGATGTGGTCTCCTCACCTCAAAAAAGATATTTTGGCCTTGGAAAGGGTTCAGAAAAGGACAACTAAAATGATTAGGGGTTTGGAACGGGTCCCATATGAAGAGAGGTTAAAGCGACTGGGACTTTTCAGTTTAGAAAAGAGGAGACTGAGGGGGGATATGATAGAGGACTATAAAATCATGAGTGGTGTGGAGAGGGTGGATAAAGAAAAGTTATTTATTAGTTCGCATAATAGAAGAACTAGAGGACACCAAATGAAATTAATGGGTAATAGGTTTAAAACTAATAAAAGAAATTTCTTCTTCACACAGCGTGTAGTCAACCTGTGGAACTCCTTGCCAGAGGAGGCTGTGAAGGCTAAGACTATAACAGAGTTTAAAGAGAAGCTAGATAATTTCATGGAGGTTATGTCCATAAAAGGCTATTAGCCAGGGGATAGAAATGGTGTCCCTGGCCTCTGTTTGTCAGAGGCTGGAGAAGGATGGCAGGAGACAAATCGCTTGATCATTGTCTTCGGTCCACCCTTTCTGGGGCATCTGGTATTGGCCGCTGTCGGCAGACAGGCTACTGGGCTAGATGGACCTTTGGTCTGACCCAGTATGGCCGTTCTTATGTTCTTATGAAATTCATCATCAAAATACAGTAAAACTCCACTGGTCCGGCATCCAATGGCCCGGCACTCCTGATGGTCCAGCACCATCTGGAACCCAGAAGTCCTCCGAACAGCCAGACAAATGGTTCCCCAATCCAGCTGCTGCTGAAACTGACCAGCGGCTGACTCCGGGAAGTCTGGAGTCAGCCCCTGGTCAGTTTCAGTGACTTGGGGAAGTCTGGGGCAGAGCATCTGGGGTGCTGCCGGGTTGGTACAGCAGTGCCGAGGGGCTCATGCCCCCCACTCCACCCGAGATCCCTCATAGCCCCCCCTTCCGATGGTCCGGCATATTTGATAATCCGGCACCCTCTGGGTCCTAAAGGTGCCGAATTATCGGAGTTTACTGTAATTTGGAATCTAAAAATAATTATAACCGGCTCCACCAATAATGTTAGTTAAATGTATTTGTTATCTATCTATAATCAGGGAAGTAGTTTTATAAAGACTTTGGTGGGAATAACCTTGGATTTTTTTTTAAAGCAAGTAATTTATAACACAGAGTTCATGTTACATTTGTGAAATGTAGACAGAAGTATTCCAAGAAGTATATCACACAGCAATAGTGTAGGTTAGTGGTGTAGGGGGAGAGACCTCAATATTGAGGTACAAACAAATATTAATAAAATCACTATTAACTGTTTTATTAGGTCACTACAAACTTGTTTGCAGCTTTAATAAATATTAAGCTTTATCTATGAGTATGTTGGAGTCAAGTTGCTTATAACATTACCAAACTGTATTCATATAGTTCTGTTGCAAAATATTAAAGCTAGTTCACAGAATTTCAAGAAACTTTTACCTTATCTCTTAAGCAGAGATCACAGTTTATCACCTACAAGTGTTACACATATCCTGGCTTTAATTTCATACTCTTCTCTTTGTGTCATGTTTAAAAGATGTAGTGATAATTGAAAGTCGTGCTTTGCACAAAATATTCAGGAAGTTTAACTGCTATGACAAACTGAATTTAACTTTAAGGAGCCTGAGTGCAGACAGGCCATATCAAACTTTGATGTTTTAGGAAGAGATCTGTTTTTAAAAGGAGCATAAGAATGTGCCATCAGAGCAATAAATCTAGGTCATAAAATGGGTCTCTATCAGTCCCACCTTTCTTTTTAAAAAGGACCTCTGTTTGTGTCTTTAAAACTTTAAGAAAACATAGGGTTGGAAATGTTTTATGCAATTGTTTACTTCCAATTTGGGATTTCATTTTAAGGGAAAAACTTTGTTATTTCTAAACAAACAAACAAACAAACAAACAAACAAACACAATATAAGGAGACAAGTTGCACCAACAAGCAGAGATATATCTTTGCAGAGATATATTTGCAAATATATTCTTATTAAAAGCAAGCTTTCCTATAATAACTGCAGTATTTCTCTCCCCCCACCCCGCACGCATATCTGTCTACACAGAACTGGCCAAGCCCCTGGCCTGAGCCCCTCCCCCACATACATGGAGCTGGCCTGAGCCCCTCTTCCCTCCCTGTGCTGCTGGCCCAAGCCCCTTCCTACCCCCTATGCAGAGCTGCTCTGAGCACCCCTCTTCTTCCCCATGGAGCTGGGTTGAGCCCCTCTCAGCCCCTCTGCCCAGGGAGCTGGCTCAAGAACCTCTCCCACTCACATGCCACTGGCCCACAGCCTCCTCCCCACCCCTTGGAGCTGGCTGAGCTTAAAAGGGGAACTGTCCCAGGCAAATTAGGATGTAAGAGCTACCGCAGGAGCCCAGTAGGCAGCAGCAGGGAACCCTGGACCCACCATCTGCCCTGGGTAGGGAGTGGGGTGCCCAAGAGCAGCCCCCAGCCCATGTTAGATACTCTGGCTGCCCTTTCTGCATAGCTCGAAGGTTTGTCCCTTCCAGCATCACAAGTTGACCCAATACAAGATGTCACCTCCCCTCAGCTTGCTCCTGTCAAGCTGCGTTTACCTTTGCAACTAGGAAATCTTTGGGCAGCTTTCAGCCAGCTGCTCTTGTTACCCTGCAGAGTTGAGATTTCCATTAATCCCTGGGAGACCCTCAGCTCTCAGCAAAACTGTACAGTCCTAACTGGGACTGTTAGCAGCGCCCATTTGCCCCTCCCCCCGGGCAAGAAGGGGAGGGGCGATACAATGAAATGCATTTGTCATGGTTATTGAGAGGAAGGCTGGCCAGAGCTCAGGGATTTAGTAGACTCCTATACCAGCCCAGCCACAGCCTTCCTCGGTGACCTGAGCCAAGTCCCTGGCATATGTCCACACTGCAGCTGAGAGATGTAGCTCCCAGCTCTGACAGACGTACACCCAGCCGCTCTGCTAAAATAGCAGTGTGGCCCCGGTGGGTGGCAGACTAGGCAGGACTGCATGGGTGGCTAACTGTGGCACTATCACGTGCTGGGTCGAGCAGGGCTAGGGCGGTGCATCGGCCCACGTGGGCGTCCCACTGCCCAGCTGCTTAATCTCTCTGGGCTCCAGGCTGCTGACTGTAAAACAGTCGTGTCCCGCCCCCAGGTGTGCTGTGAGACTAAACACATTCCCGGTGCTCAGCACGGCAGGAGGGGTCCAGATCAGCAAGGGGCATACTGAGTCGTTGTGTATGTCAGTCAGGCCTTCCACAGTCAAATGAGTGGGGCCAAAATTATAGTACAGCTGTCAGCCCCTTCTTGGCCAGAGTGGGGGGACAGTTGTCTAGCTGGGCTCGGATGGGGCTGCCCATTGACTAGTTGAGGAGCATTTGTCCATCATGGGCAATGTGCCCTCTAATCTTTTCAATCCTGGTGCGGATTTTCCCATCCATGTGTGGAATAACATTTTTGTGTGCACCGAGGCATGTGCGGATTTGCACCGCCAGCCTACTTGTGGGTATTCTGCTAATCAGCTGGGTGGCATTCGAATGTCCCCTGAGCACAAGCGCATGGCCTACAGGGAACCAGACCAGGGGCAGGCAGACAAGCTGGCCTGTGGCTCTGCTGCAGTGCAGCAATTCCTACATCCCTCTGGTCTTTCCATGAGCAGCAGCTATTGAAATGCTAGAGAGCAGCCCAGAATCTCTTACCTTCAGCCCCCATCGGGACGTCTGATTTACCTCTGAGCAGCAGCCAGAGAGAGCTGTGTCCACTGCATCTCCCGCTATCTGCCTTGCACTATCTCTGCCTCCTCTTTATACACAGAGCGGCTGGCAAACCCCGCTTCCACAGAACTCCCTGGCACTGCTCCCACTGGCTGCAGTTTGAACTCCTAATGTCCAACAGCCGAGGTACGTGACAGGAGGCATCACACCCTGGGGCCAGCTCTTATCTCAGAGCTTGTGGGAAAGCCCCTATGGGGCAATGTCCATTCGGCAGCCTGGGGAGTGAAGGACAGCGCTGAGGCTGCAGATGCCCCTTTCCAGGTTCCACTTGCAGGTGCCAGGGAGTGACATGCCTGGGACCAGTCATTAGTCTCACAGGTAGATCCTGCACAGATAGTAGCCACAGAAATGAGCTGCAGATACCTCCATCCATGGCCGTGGATGCAGGTTCCCATGGATACAAAGCAGATATCTGTGGACTTGCAGGGCTCTCCTTGTAGGAAGGGGGGCACAGCTGTGTGACGGGGGGTGGTCACAGACAACCCCTCGGGGGTGCCTCCCAGGGTGCTGACATGGCCACTGCCACTTGCCTTCTGCTCTCTGGGGCTCCTCACCGCCTGATCCTGCTGGGCCAGCTCCTCTAGTCTCCCCCAGCCAAGGCCCCAAATTATGTTCCCTGCCCCCACCGAGAAGCAATATAGACACTGAACCACTTCAGGTCCAAGGAGAGTGCAGTTTAGGGCCCAGTCTCCTAAGAGAGCACTCCCCAGATGGGCTCAAACCCCAAAGAATTAGGTAAGCCCCCTTTAGCAATGAAAGGGGGAATGTGGGCACTGGTTGACCCCCCCCCTTCCAGATAACAATAGCTTACACTGGGTTTGATAGAAAATAAAAATGGTTTTATTAAGTTGAAGCAGCAGGATTTAAGTAGTAATAAGTGAAAACAGGCAGAGCAAAGTCGGTTACAAATTAAAAGAAACAAAACCGCTTGACTAATTCTACAATGAAACCTCAGTACAAACTTCCACTGAAACCTCAGTGCAAACTTAAACTCACCCTAAAACCTCTTTTCCAGCTGCCCCTCCAAACCAGGGCTGTTTTCCCCACCCTGGGGTCTCAGGCTCCTTCCTTCAGGTGCAGCCCAGCCAAAAAGGCCAAGGCCTCTCCTCGCCTATTCTTTTTGTTAAAGAATTGAGGCCCCTCCCCACCGACCACTGCTCAGACTCCAGGACAAAAGAGATAGTTTAACCGTTGAGGGTAACACCCTCCCTGTCTCTCACTCACATGTTTGAAACCCACACAGGATTCCCCACTCCGTGTGGCTAATTTTCCACACACAAATGGTACATACAACAGAGTTAAGATAAACAGAACCAGCAGATCATGACATGAAGATCGATGGGTTACATGAGATAATTTGCTCAAACCACCTTTGACTTATGTATATTCCTGTCCATGAATCCATTTCATAAAGCATGGGGGGGGGGAGCCTCGCAAGCTGGGCCTCTCTGGTCTAGGGTATAGCCTGCTGTGCCCTCTGGTACTGATTTCTTGTGTGCTGTTGTGTTACACTGCAACCTTCCACAAAAGCATCTGATGCCGGTGTCGCAGAGCCGACCTTAGGCCGATTCAACTGATTCCTCCGAATCAGGCCCCGTGCCTGAGGGGGCCCCACGCCCTTGAACCCGGAAGTGCCGGCGAGTTACTGTTCAGAGCCGGGGGCCCTGCTCCAGCAATATGTAGAGCTGAATCAGGCCCCGTGCCTGAGGGGGCCCCACGCCCTTGAACCCGGAAGTGCCGGCGAGTTACTGTTCAGAGCCGGGGGCCCTGCTCCAGCAATATGTAG